CCCCCGGTATTTGATTGAGTTTTGCTATAATCGAGCAGACCTACGTCGGTGCTTCCTTTTTTCTTTTTTCTTTTTTTTGGCTTAGACTGTTAATGACTGTTTTCTTAATTTCACAATTTGCATGCAGCTAAACTGAATGCATGATCATTATGCTTTGTCTGTACAGACAACATACAAAATCCTTCCTGGTTTTATATCTGACTGTACACAGATGTGACAGCGCATATAAAGACGTTTGGCTTCTGTGGTTTCTGTCTCAGGGGAGTCTCATTCACATCGAGCGCTCACTGCAGAGCTAGAAAAAGGTCAGAAATAAAAGCAGATTTGACCCTAGTTTGAAAAACCCCCAAAACAAAACGAAGTATCGGACAGAAAATGCGATGCTGACACAGGAGAAGTAGCGACTTGAATTATTTAGGCTGATGTTTTGGAGAGGTTGAAATGATGGCGGGTTGTTGCATGCAGTGAACGCGAGAAGCATCATTAGTTAAATTAAAGAGGGTGTCATTATTGTTAGATTATGACAGGAGTGTCATTTTGCTGATGTTTTTGGCAGTATTAAGTTGAAGAATGAAGAAAACTGGTGTTTCAAACGATACAGCCTCAAATATTTTCATTTGTGCTTTTTGAGATAAATGAATATGAGCGAGTGCACTTTGTCCTCTTCCTTTGTTTTTATGGAGCTAAAATATGTTTTCTCCTTTTTAAAGGAAAGCATATCAGTAGGTTATTGATTTATTTACTGTAATTTACTTCAAGTCAAGTGCTTCTTTTAGGCTGTCATGTTGCACATGCAAAATTCAAATATCAGACAAGTGCTTGCTTGGTTCATTTTCAGTGTTTGTGTTCATTTTTCAGTACTTATCTCTCCTTCTCCCTTGTTGTAAATCAAGCCCCCACCCCCCTTTTTGCATCAGTGCCCACCCTAAAACCTCAAACTCACTCACAGTTTAGATCAGAGTGAACTAAGATATGATGGAAACTAAATCCATCTAGAAGAAGTGAAAGTTGTAAAAGCTTTCTGAAGGTGAGGCTGTGGAAGGATCTTTGACTCTTCTTTGCAGATGCCTTTGTCTCCAAGGGTCTCTAATCCAGTCTGCTTCTGGAAATGTTGTTAGATTATTGACTTCGGCTCTCTGTTTCTATCCCTGTGGCTTCCATGCAAATGTCTAGAGTTCAGTGGTGCCTGGGCCTCTCTTCACTCCCTGTTTGAACCCACAAACATCCCACAGCTCTGGGTCTACAAGGACTGGCAGTCGTCCTTGCCAGACAGATTTCACAATCAAAAATGCTCACTAGCCTGGGCATAACCTATCGGACAACACTGTCTTCCACTACCTTCATATCTTTTTGTATATGTTTTCATTTTGAGTTTTATTTAATGTGAGAGGAAATCCGCTTTAACAAGACAGAAATCACACTAAATAATGTCACAAAATAATTAGGATTGCAATTTTTGCTATAATGGAGCAGTTCTAGTCTGAATTGTACAGTACTATGTTGTGTATGTTGTGACGTATTGCATTCCTTAGAGTTTACAGTATCACATCAGTATCACGTCACTCCATACAGAGAAAGAGAGAGATGGGCGTTTTGTGTGTGTGCATTTGTATGTGTTGGAAGTCATTTTATCCAGCAAGAGGTGGACAGGAGCCATCTCTGAATTCCCAGTGAGTCCCAGTAAGGGTGACAATTCAGGGAATTTGTCACCCTTACTGGTGTCTCTAAATTGCGAAATGGTACGGTTCCTCTTATAGTATTAAATTTTATTTAAAAAAAATTGCAGGCTGACACACATAACTGGAATATGTCCTAATATTTGATTGAAGTAAATATTACTGTGTCTAGGCAGAATTATTAATTCATATTACGGATTTAAGGGCTTTTGTATTACATTTTCTCTTAACACACATACTTACACTGTCACAAACAGAAGAGAGAGGAAGTAGAAGTTAACAATGCTGAGGCAGGAAAAGAGATGCAAGACTGAGAAACTTTTAAAAGTACATCAACAGGAATTGAAGCAGCAAGTCACATAAGAATTGATTTCTGAAACAAAACGCTCATAACCAGCTCCTGTTGACCCACAAGTGATATTTTGGAACATGTAAACACATTTACTTCTGGTACCAACTGCAACGAATTTGCTCTTGTTCTGTGAAAATGTTTAGGTCTTAATCCACTCAACACAGTGAAAATGGTTTAAAACTAAAAATTCAAAAGACAATAAATGTCCTTAAGACCCTCCAGGGGTTAAAGTTTGAATAGGGAATGATGTGACTCTTTGTCTACGTGATCTCTCCAAATGTGCCATATTTTTATTTTTATATTTAGCTCAAATAGAGAAGACTCTGCTTCAACCAGACAAAGGCTTTGAGTTCTTGATTAATAAATAATTGGAATGGTCAGTAATCAAAATGGCTTCTTGTTCATTTCCTCTCCGATTTCAGTTGTAATGCTGATTATTTGACTGTAACGTTTATCTGCAACACAGACAGGAACCATTGAGGATTGATGATTTCTATCCTGCTTACATTTATTTCTCTGGATTTCCATGTTTGGCTTATCGCTTTTCCGCCTGCCAGTAATGATTTTTTTTTTTTTTTTTAACTAAACACTGTGATTGGAACTGCTTTCTCACACTACAACAGAAACAAATTACAATCTGGTTTCACAGCTTGGCCACAACAAGGATTTAAAGGAAATCATCTCCTGAGAAACTCAAAGTTACAGCAGCTGCGGAGCTTTAGGTTCACTGGGTTCGAGCTTGATGAGATTAGAAAACCAGCTGAAGAAAAGTTTACCTGGTTGAATAAACATTGAATGCAGTACGCTTTCCAAGATTTCCAGAGTTGTGCAAAAATAATTGTAGAACAGCTGCTTTGATCCTCTTGAGTGGATAAAACAGGAAGCCAGTGACCTTTTACACAGTAAAATCAGTATGCTTTTCTAAAAACACTAAAAACTAGAGCTACAGAAACAAACAGGTCATCTCTTCACTGCCAAAAAACTATCATCAGGGTAACATGAGTGCAAATAATCAATTCTGAAGCAAGAGACTGATACCTGCGAAAATTTGTTTGTCCTAGCTGTATCAAGTTCCACACTGTAATTGCTAAGGGAGAGGCACTGAGGGCAGGAAAAACAATATGTTGTTATTGTTTAATTTATACAGAATTACTGACATTATTCTTTTTGGTTGTTTTTGTTCAGGCTCCTCGAAGATCTCCTTGACTGGATGGAAGGCCAGTGAAACAATGGTTCAGCCTGCACAGAAATAACGGACACACTCCACTTTATGGGACTGCTATGGAACATTCTAAAGAAACACTACAGACTCTGTTTTCTTTTTTATTATAGTTTAGTATATTTATGACATTTTTTTTTTCTTTCTTTCTTTTTTTAAAGAAGCATTTGACGCTTCGCTCTTTAGCGACACATTCATGTAAGGAAAATCAGGCTCTCGGTGGATTATCGTGGCCTGTTGGACGTTAGCAGGACTACTTGTGAAAATCAGACCGCCGCAGGTTTGATAAGGGCTCACTGCTGTTTCCAGCAGCTGCAAACGGGTTGTGCCACCCCTGAGTGCATTGTCACAGCTGCATTGGGAGATGTTTCAGTTCAGCAAGTACCCCATGGACATTTTAGAAATGCTAAGTGGACACCAAGCCCACCAGTTCAAAGGCCTTGGATTAGAACGACAACTGAGCCACCAACAGCAAGTGCAGCTGCAGCACCAGCAGCAGCTGCAACAACAACACCAACCCTGTGGTGACACATCTGGAAGCCTCTTGTCGGGCCTCGGCCTTGGGTCCCTCCAAACCTCACGGAGCAATGCTTTTGCAGACTCCTCATCATTGTTTGCCAAAATGAGTGCTCCTCCTCCATCCATCTCCCACCAGAGCCAGTCGTCCACGTCGTCTCACAGCTCCAGGAAGTCGAGTAAGATGAGCAGCAGTAGCAGCAGTGGCAGCGGGAGCTCCTCGTCGGGGTACCCCCAGTTTCTGCGGCCTTTTCACCCTGCTGAGGCAGCGCTGGCTCAGGAGCAGCTCCACTCTGGGATGGGACGTTTCGACTTTGGTGGGAGCAGCAGTGGAGGAAGCGCAGGAGTCATTGGGGGGGTTGTCACACCTGCACCCCCGCCTCCCCCGCTCCATCCAGGTCTCTCTGTGCCCCAGCCCTCTTCTGGCCCTTCTTCCTCCTCACCCTCACCCTCCACCTCTGCTTCCGGCTCCAACAACCCCTCTGGTAGCACTGCGGTCCCCTTAGTTGGCCAGTCCGATCCTCGCAGTCTCCACCAGCAGTTCAGCTGCATGCTTGCTGCTAATCAGTACTTCCTGTCTGGTGTTCCCACCAGCAGCAGCCTAGAGCAGTTTCTCGTCCAGCAGGGCACTCACAACCACCTAGGTTTGGGCCTCGGGCAAGGCGCCTCAGAGTCAAACTCAGCACTGGCTGCTCCTCCTGCACTCCACTCCTCCCACAGCCACACAGCTCCACAGCCTCAGCAGCAACAGCAGCAACTCACCCCACACGCCTTATCTCATCCACACAGCCACACTCACCACCCGCACCCTCTTCACCCAGCCCCGCAGCCGGCCCCACTGGGCGGTTTTGATTTCCAAGGCATTCCTGTCCTCTCCTCTAACCAGATAGCATCGCTAATGCAGCAAGAGGCTGGCCTCCCCCTCCCGCTGCCCCTGCACCTGTCCCTCTCTAAAGATGATGGAGCAAAGTCTGTAGACAGCTCGTCTACGTCAGGATCGAGTGGGGGTAGCAGGAGAAAGAAGGCAATGGCGGGTTATCTGCCCCAGAGGAAAACGGACAGTAGCAGCCACAGCCACAGCAGCAGTAGTGTTAGCAACTGCCACAACAGCAGCTCGAGTGGGCACAGTCAGAGCTCCTCATCGGGCCTCGTAGGAGGAGGAGGGTCTGGGGGCGTCAGGCTAAGTGGAATCGGAAGTGAACCGCAGCATTCCTCTCTCCTCTCACCGTCCTCGCAGCAGCAACAGTCATCCTCCACTGTGTCCTCCTCCTCATCTGTTCCCACCTCCTCAAATCCCACCTCTGTGCTCGTTGCCAACGGAAACCAACAGCTGTCAAAATCCCAAGAAAATCATAACAGCATCTCATCAGGCCAGACAGAACCAGAACCCCTTTACCACTGTGGTGAGTGTGGTAAAACCTTCACCCACCTTTCGAGCCTACGAAGGCATCTCCGCAGCCATGGGTTGACACCAGAAAGCCAAAGCAGGAAGTCAGACTGTAACTCTCCCAGCCCGGAGAGGATATTCTGTTGCGGCGAGTGTGGGAAGAGATTTAAAAAGAGAGGTCACCTCATCCAGCACAGTGTCACCCATTCAGAAAACCGGCCTTTTGTCTGCAGCATCTGCCAAAAGTCCTTCAACCGTCGAGAGTCACTTACGAGACATGAGAAGATCCACGACGAGAAACCTTTCCGCTGCCCGGCATGTGGGCGTTGTTTTCGTGAGAGCACCTCTCTCCTGAACCATGCCGCTTCAGGTGCTTGTGGCAAACCTCCACGCAGTTCAAAAAACAGGGCCAGCAGTGCAGGGAGTGCATCTTCCAACCCTAGCAGCAGTAAAATGGAAAGTAGAAGTGACAGCGTAGGGATTTCAAGTGATGGGGCAGCGATGGCCAGTGACAAATATGCAACAGATTATTCCAGAAATCGCTACCAGAGCCAGTCGTCCTACAACAGCAGCGGTGTCGACGACTACAGACGATCCCAGCCTTCATCTCTGTATCCCTCAGAAAGCACATTAGCCAATGAAATGACCAACCAGACCCTCCGGAAGGCCCCTTTAGCCCCAACTCTTCACCCCCACCCACAAAGTCAGCAACATCACCACCATCAACAGCAACAACAGCCGCACCTTCCACTCTCTTCCCTATTGGATGATTCAGAAGATGAGGTCACCAGCAGTGCAATGTCAGCCATCGCTGCTGCAGCCGCCGCCTCGTGCGATATAAACACAGAAAGCCGGGAAGGAGAGAGGAGGGATATCATTGGAGGCCTATTGGGGGGGTTGGGGTTTGGTAACCTAGGTGGACCGTCATCCACCTCCACCCTGAATGGTTCCACCATGCCGCTGACCCACCCCAGCCAGCCGCACACAAAGCCCAGGAGGCCGCGGAAGCCCAGAGAGAAAAGGGATCCCAATACCATCGTCAGGAGGAGGAGGAGCCCAGCACCGCCAGGCGACGGATCGGAAAGGCCGTACGGATGTCAGATATGTGGCAAACGCTTCAGGAGGGCGGAGACTCTGAGGCGCCACAACCGTGTCCACACAGGGGAAAAGCCTCACGCGTGTGACGTCTGTGGCAAGATGTTCCGTGAGCCTTTCCACCTCACCAAGCATCTGACTGTACACTCGGGTCAAAAGAACTACAAGTGCAATCTTTGCGGGAAGATGTTCGCCTACGCTCAGAGCCTCGTGAGACACGGGAAGCTGCACAGAAGAGGAGAAATCGACAACCAGGGGAGGAGAATAAAAGGTGCTGCTGCCGCCATCAGCCAAGTCGCCAACACAGGGAACTCTGACTTCTTCTCCTCCTGCTCTCAAGGAGAAAAGTCTCCAACGTCTGGCACGCCATCACAGAGGCTTTACACCTGCACCGTTTGCTGGAAATCCTTCCGTCACTATTTCCACCTGACAGCACATCAGCAGACTGTCCATGGCGGCAGGGTGGGGCTGGAGAAGTCTTTTCGCTGTGAAGTGTGTGGCAAAGCCTTTGCTTATTCTAACAGCTTAGTGCGGCACAAGCTGTCTCAGCATGGCATTGACCGCAACGGTCAGCGCGTGAATCAGAACCAACCCTCTGGATACTCCCCGCTCTTCTACGATTCTAATTCAGCTCCCAACTACGCTGCTTCCTCCCACATGCCACAGGGGACATCCGGACAACAACCAAACCCACAACAACAACAACAACCGCCGCCACCACCACCACCACCACCTCCTCCTCCGCCACCCCCACCACAACAGCAGCAACAGCAGCAACAACAACAACAGCAGCAACACCCGCACCCTTTTTACTACCGCCCAAAAAACTACCAAAAGCGTCATGGGCAGACAAGAAAGCACCGGAAGAAAAAACGGCGAGTAGTGATCCACAGCATCATGAGGGACGGAAAGCTGGTGGGCGTGCCCCTGAGTAAAGACACGCGCAGGAAGCTGATGATTCTGAGAAAGAAGAGGGGCAGACTACAGGCTCAGCTCAACAAAAAAAAGCTCCTGGCACAGTTGAGGATAAAGGGCAGTGTAATGAAGGTGAAGTCATGGTGCGGTGGCGCCGTCAGGGTCACGGGGCTTACATCGATGGACGTCCCCATCAAACGCTTCCCCTGCCCCATCTGCCCAAGCACCATGTATGCCAAGCAGGGTTCTCTGCTGGTCCATCACGCCATTAGGCACCCACCTAGGAACTCAGGCCGCCACGCCCGTCTGCGGTGCCAGGTGTGTGAGAGGCGCACCAGTTCGTTATACAAAGCCTTGAAACACAGGGGCCAGCATCTTAAACAAGCTGCATTCCAATGCCACAAATGCCGACACAGTTTTTGGAACCCGCGGCTACTCGCCCGCCACAAGTTCTGCTGCCGGGCGACCACCAGCAGTGGGGGTGGGAGCTGGGGACTGATGAGATCTCCATCGTCAGATGATGAACATTCACCAGTCCAGCTGCCAGTCCCAGGTCTGGTCCAGCCTGAGAGATCAACGGTTCTGACTGACTACAGTCAGTAAACAATTTTTTTTTTTTTTTAGATTAGATTGTTTTTGATGTTTATTTTTTTTAAATAATCCAAGAAGCAAGCAAGAGCTAGCAAGTTTTTAACAAAAAAGACAAAAAAAAAAGGTGGAAGTATGGGGTTTAGTGTAACTACAGTAATAACCTCGAGCCTTCCTCCTGTGTACAATCCTAACTTACCACAGCAACGGTGGTCGATAAATTAAAGTGGACTTCAAAAGGCCCAAAATCAGAACCACCATCACAGGCTGTTTCCTCTTCCCCAAAGGTGAAGGAACTCAAGACCACATGACTTTAGTAGCATCTGTTATTAAAAACAGATTCGGCTTCCTGTCCATCATGTTTCTGTTTTTTTTTTGTTTGTTTGTTTGTTTTTGTTTGTTTTTGTTTTTGTTTTTAAATCCCCGGTCATCAGTGTTTGGGCATAAATGTGGATTGGATGCCTTTTGTAGAGGGGATGTATCTCCGGTAGTAGGGATGCACCGATATTAAACAATTTGACCAAAAGAAATGCAGATTTATACCTATATATATTTTAGTGTTTATTTTTATTTATTACACAGCTCCACTATGAAACAAAAGTTTTTTATTTTTTCCCCTGTAATTATGTTCTGCCAGGTTTGACCACCAGGGGGCACAGTTTTATCGGTTGGTGTTTTCAGTTAACTTTTGATATTTTCTCAAGTGGAGGGATGGGTGGATGTTTGTAATGAGTTGCCAGGTTACATGGACTCACTGCACCATCTTGTGGCGATAGAGGAAAGTACTAAAAGCCACTTTAATAACTTTAATAAGTGGCTTTTAGATATAAAATCTTTTAGATATACAATCACTTTTTTATTTATTACATTTTGGAAAGTTTCAAATTGTTTTTCCCAACAGAGATTTCCATAAAGTTCCGTTAAAGTCTTCTGTTCTTCATCACACTCAGCCAGCACAAAAGTAACGCAACACAACACACAAATATCAGTAAATGCCTTCTTGTGTACTGATATCCCTCCAAATATCGGTGCATCTCTATTTTTTTTAGTTCTAGTTTGCGTTCACATTATTCACCGGTAAACAGTAGCGTGTCTGTCTCTTGGTCTGTGTTTATTTGTTGCCCCCGTGGAAGAACTCTCTTTTTATACTGAGATGAAATTTGCCCTCAAGATAAATTTATCTTTAATGGAAAAAAGAAATCCTGATGTGACACTATTGTCATTTTTAATGAGCTTCTTGGGAGAATAAAGGGTTTGTTTGTCTAAAGAGACTGAAGGGAGACAGTTGGGACAAACAAAGTGTTGATCTTGTTTTTAATGTACACTACTTTATGATGTTTTTGAAGAAGCGTGAACAGAGAGTGAGAACAGGAGCTGTTAGTGTGTTCAGGATTTGAAAAGGAAGAAGAGAAATAACCGAAGTGTACTGTACAATTCGTATTATATTTTATTACATATTGATTTTTTTTTTTTCTCACACCGAGTATCATTTCTTTTATCATTGTTGCTAATGTTTGGGTGGGAGGGAACGAGTCAGGGTCTGACTTTGTAAAACAGCGGGATGAGTATATGTATCGATGTGATATCCTCCCCCCTCCTCCTTGAGCCCCCTTTTACCTACTCCCTCATTGCCACACTTGATGCCCCATTTTTGTAACAGAAGCGTGTACACATAGTTCATTACTTAGGTCCTGTCCAGATGTGTGTTTTCTTTTACCTGTAAAACTAAAACATGTAATATTATTACTAAATTACTATCCTTTTCATTGCCTAAAAGTGAGTTGTTGAAAACCCTCAAATCGAATAAAAAAAAAATCTGAAACATTGATTGTTGTCTTAAATCTTCTGTTTCATGCACTCATCTCTTTTTAGTTAAGTGACATGTTATAGGATGTATATTTTAAATGTTCCTGAAATGTTGGTTATTTGATAGTAAATGGAGCATAAAGGAAAGTGCATCATTTTACATGATTAACTGATCTCCCTCACATGACAACATTGTACTGATAAAACTGAGCTTTCAACAAGTTTACCTGCAGTTGAATCCAAATGAAGTTGGAGAGATGTAGATAGCATTGAGGAAACGGTTAGTTACGTGAGAAGACAGTAGCTTGAACAACCACAGCTGCAGGGACCGTGAAGTGGTATCTCTCTCATGCTGCCTGTGAGAAAACACTATGAAAACAGCCTGGCACAAGCTGAGCGCCCGACTCACATACAGCTGTGACAAAGCCAGCCTTAAACACCCGAAACACGCAGACAGATGTGCTCTTTCATGCACACTCAGCTGATCTTCCCGCTCTCAAATCCTCTGCACGTCACAAAATCTTAGAATGAATTATTAGGTGTAAACCCTTAAAAAAACACCAGTGGGAAGTGGGGTGTTTTGTTTTTTTTAAGTTGTTGCAATACCAACAACCAGTCACTAGATGGCAGCATTTAAATATCCTTTAAAACATGGCCTAGTTCCAAGTGTTGGAGGAAGGGGTGAAGGGAAAATAATTTTGATTCGAAACGCCTCATGAAACTCAGATCACACATTAGTGGAGTCAAGCTGTTGTTTCACACTTTTTGCTGATCCGTGCCAGCGTGCACGCACTCAGCTGCTCTGTGTGTGTCTGTGTGTGAGGCAGATTATTTTGGCTTCTTACTATTCACACATTCCTGTCATGTATGTGTAACATCACTATATCATCATAACATAAGATGTGTAGGCGCTTCCAGGAACCATGAATGACAGCAGCAGAAGTCACGTTTTAAACCAGTTGCATTTTTCGTTCATTTACAGGATGTTGTAATAATGACTTCTGCTAGTTTGGTTTGCAATGCTAGCGTATGGCTAACATTTAAACAGAAATGACTTTGTTTTAGAAGACAAAATAAAGTACACCAGTATTTTGAGGTATGTTTCACCTCGAAAAGAGCTCTTTAATAGCAATAATAGTATTATTATAGCCCGCTTTTTATGTAGTTTATTATAATGATTTAATGCTTGCCAAAACACTTGGGTTCTTTTCTAAAGGCCAAAATCACACATATGGTTTTTTTAATTGTTACGTGTCTGCTAACTTGACTTTTGCCTGGATAAAAAAAGAAGATGATAATAAAAATGTTTTTGCTTCTTTCACACTAAAGACAGGAAGCCAAGTTGGAGGTGGTATCTTAAGTGGAGTTAAGAACAAGTTAGCTTTAGAGGTTTGGAGACAAAGTTAGTGAAGTGAGTCTGAGATGGTTCGGACATGTGCAGAGGAGAGATAGTGGAAATACTGGACAACAAGGTGTTGACAAAGACCACAGAGGAGGTTCATGGATCTAGTGGAGGACATGCAGATGTGCTGGTGTGACAGAGGAGAACTATAGGGGTGGGGTGAGATAGAGACAGATGATCGAAGAATAAGAAAAATTAAGAATTTCATACAGACTGGTATGAAATCCACTGATGTAGATTTAGAACTCAACTTTATCTGTCTGGTAACATAGGAAAAAAGTTCAAACATGTAACTAAAAAGCATACAAAACAAAACACTCAAAATATGACGGAAATATTAATAATTAATAATCAGCAAAAATACTTCATTGTAGTAAAAAAATCACTGAAATGCTAAAAATGGTTTTAAAGTGTAAACAAAATTAAGAGCTTTTGGATCATTTATTGTTTATTTGCTGTTTATCCGTTTTATTAACGTTGTCTTTGTTTTATGAAGTCCTTGCTGTATTTTTTGTTTACTTTGCCTTAGTTTGTCTGTGCCTTCGGAACATTTACGATGAAAAGGTAAATATGATCTTTAATGGATCCTTCAGAAGTGAAACATAAACACCCCCCTCCTTCCCTCCAACCGTGCTCTCACGCGGCCATGGCATGGGGAAATCTGTGGGCGGAGACTGTGACCTATTTTTAGCCAATAGAGCGCTGAGAGCCGCAGCGAGTGACCTAGATTCAGCCAATCGCAGCGCTGCACAGTCGCCGGTAGGCAACAGTCGGCGCGTGCCGGGTCCATGTGCTTGTTGTTGAGAGCGCGAGAGTCAGATAGGGACATCCAACAGGGAGAAAACAGACGAGGCGCTGCTCCTCGGGTGGTTTTATCAGATTTGAAACAATTCAATGACTTTTATTCTATTATTTTGAAGCCTCGCAGCAAACAGTTTATGTATGAGTTAAAACATACTCACAATATTCAAGGAAACAGTTATAAATTAATGGTTTCGGTGTACTGCCAGTATAATAGAGCGGGCCTTTATTTAAGTGTCTCTTGTTAAAAAGAATAGCGTGTATATGTTTTTAGTGTGGAGGAAATGGTAAGACCGTTTGTGTTTGTTCGCGTTTGAACTCGGGGTAAAAGTAATCGTATTTTCCCTTATTGCTCAGATAAGGAAGTGGAAAAGGTAAACATCCTGACGTTTCAGGAGCTGCATCTCATTTTAGTACACACACACACGCGGCGGGCTCTGCTTTCGCTGTTTAAGTGACAGCGTGAGAGAAGAGGGGCGGGGCGAGGCGTGTTCACGGGCCATCCAGGAATTATCACATGCGGCCGCTATTGGCTGAAACTTCATGGAGGCGTCACGTTTTAGTGTCAATGTGTGTTGCATTCACGAGAAGCGGTAGCGTTTTAGTAATCTTGTAATTTTACATTTTTATAACATTATTTTCTTATTCTTTATATTAAATAAATGTTATTTTGCTTAATTTTTTAATAACATTTACCATATTTTTTATCTGTTGTTTTCATACTTTTATGAAATTTAACATATTTTCTTCCATAAAAGTTTATTTTATATTATATTTTCTAGCTGCCATCGTTTTAGCTTCTGTTTTTTTTTTTATGCATTTACATTGTTAGGCCTTCATGTTTTATGTTTGCACTTTAACTTAATTGTTTTGCGATTTTCCCTTTTTTTTTGGTTTTTTTTGTTCAGCTTGAATCTAGCATGTATTGTAAGCTGATAGCAAAATAATATAATTTATCCTTGAGCTGCATCCTTGCTTTTTAACATTTTTAACATTGTGTGATCGTTTAATCAGAAACATTTTCAACATTTCTTAATTAGTAACCACATTAACTGTCAGTCACAGACATTCATTTAATTTCTTGACTGCAGTCCCAATAGTTTTTTGTTTGTGGACGACCAGAAGGACCTCTATTATACATGGGGATGTCAACATCGGGTACAGGACTTATTTTTTGTCATGAGATTAAACGTTTTGTTCAGTTTCCCTGAAAAAAACAAAGGAGAAAGAGCAAAATAATTTGAAGTTCACATTTTAAACTAGTCATAAATGCAGCGCCGAGACTCTGAGTACACGGGAGGGAGAGGCGTGGTCAATTGGGCTGTGTGGGCGTTGCCGCTGTATGCAAACGATCCACGCCCCCAAGCGCCTTTCCCCCGTGAGCGGTGACGTCACACGAGCGGCCCGTGTTGGTTCCAGCTGACTGGCAGAGAGGGAGAGAGAGGGAGAGAGAGGAAAATAAGAGCCATCAGCCCCATCTATCCGTCTCTCATACTACTGGATATTATTATTTTTTCCGGAGGATCTCTTTATTTCCGTCATCTTGTCATTTTTTCGCCCCTCTTTTTGTTCTTCGCTCTTTTCTGTCTTGGAGACTTCCCACCGCCGCGACTCGACTGTACTCCGCTGTTTCTACTGCCTTTATTTCTGCTCTCTTAATATTGTTTATAGCTCCCTCTGGACTCACCGAGCGATCGACCGACCAACTAACCGACTGACAGCTACTCCTGGAGGATGAATTAGACTCGGTCAACATGGTGCCATTTTGGATATAAATCCTCCCTCTTTTTTCTTTTTTGTTTCGTTTTTTTTCTTTCGCACATTTTCTTGCATGGGACTGGCGACAATCAGGTGGACACCCTGAGCGCACACGCGTCACCTGTCCGCGCACCTTTTGAAGGCGCGCCCGTCAATTAGCATCACTAAGTGGATTATTTTGATCTTACGGTCTCTTGCAGGTTGCCCCACTCCACTTCCTCCTACCCTCACCTCCTCCTGTCCTCCTCCTCCTCCTCTTATTCCCCCCGAGAAGTTATGTCAAGGCCTCTCACCCAGCTCCTACCACCGGATCTCCCTGCCGGGGCCACAAGCCCCCAGTTTGGGGCCAGCAACCCGGCTGGAAGCGGCCCCCAAGGTGGACACCTGACCTCTATGACCAACCTGAAGTCTCTGCTTCAGGTGCCAATCAAGGCAGACCAGAGAGGCCCCAAGGACTGTTGCGAGATGAAAGGTGAGTGTGGGCACGTGTACGCTTTTCCGCGCGTGTGAGTAAGGGATCCAATAGGAACAAACTCCTTAAAGGGCCACTAGGGAAATACCTCAGCCGTACAGAGGCCAATTTCATTGTATTGCAAGCGCAGTATAGGCCTGTATTATGTATGTGCGATGCATGTAGGAAATGTCCACATTAAGTGCACTAAAGGAGAGTAAAGATAAACTTTATTTACAAAGCTTTTCACACACATTTGCAAAATTTATCTGTAAATTTGTGATTAAGGACTTATTGGGCCACGTTTTCAATCTCTTTACTCAACTGAAAAAGCCAGATTTGGCCTTTGTTCTCCACATTTTCATATGTGGAAAAATGGCTGCTTGATTTTAAGCTGATTATATTAGGGTTTTGGACACATTACCAGCTGCTGTCATGAGGATTAAAAAAGAAGAAGAAGATAATTAAGAGATATTGAAAGAAATAAAGGGCTGCAGCTCTGATTTGAAAAACAAACAATAAACAGTAGCTTATATTCTTTGCAGAAATGTCACAGGGATTATTCATGAGTGTGTGAACGTGTGTGTGTGCATGTGACTGAGTGGGTAGGTGTGATTGTAAAACACAGAGGAGGCCCTGCTTATCCAACACACACTCACATGGACATTGTTTTCTTTGCAAGCTTTCCTCCTTCTGGCCTGCTGCATTTTTATATTAAACGCTTCCCTTTTGCATTTGGTGGTGGTGAAGTGAAATGATCTAGATGAGGAGGAGGAGGAGGAAGAGGAGGAGGGAAGAAGAGGGTGTAAAAAAAGAAACACAATCTGGAGTGGATGCCATCAAAAATCCAGCCAAAGCAGCAGAAGCAGCAGTCGTTTGGTTTGTTTAAATAAAGGTTACTGAGTGGGATTGAATTATTTCCCATCCTCCAGCTGCCACAACAAATATTAACCAGCCTGCTTCTCCTTCCTCTCTCTTGCTGTGGGGATATTATAACTCCCAGTCAGCTGCTGTCACACGCATACGCACACTTGCGAGGCAGCGATTTGCATTCATTCTCTTCTGCTGAGTACCAGTAAATTAAGTTAAACCTCAATTAAAACACATTTATTTAACATGAAGAGATAAAAAACATGTCCTCACAAGAACAGAAGGTTGTCAAGAGTCAGTGCCTCATGAGTGTGGATACAACTGAACACACACATTCACAGAGAGGGGTCGGGGGGCAAAGGAATGGTACGGTCCAGTGGCTCTCTGCATGTTGTTGGCCCCTGGTGGCTTTTTGGTGCCACTACAGCTCCTTTCTGTGGAGCAGGAAGAGGAGGAGGAGGAGATGATGGTGAACACAGTTGACAGTCTCTCCATGGAGTCAGAAAGCAGCTCAGTACAGTATCCTCCTAATGAGAGGAGAGGCATTCAGGGGCATAAAGAAGATGTTTTTGCCCCTGATTTAGCTGCTGTTCCCCTTCCACAATGCAGCCCTTTGCCTTGCTGCTGTGTCCCCCCCCCCCGGCTAGCTTTGTTTGACGCCTTCACAAACACCCACTCTATCTAGCACATCTCCCTCCCTCTCTCTCTCTCTCTCGCTCTCTGTATTGCACGTCTTTGAGTTTTCCCTCTCACACTTTCCTGTCTTGCTCTCTTCTCGTCTTCCACTCGCTTCACAACAGCGGCCCCTCCGCTGATTTACATTTTCTCAGGTTTTGTCTCCCTTCCTCTCTGTCTTCATCTTCTACTCTCATCACCCAGACTTATTTTTTTTCCAAAGCCATTTATTTGCATCCCTCTCCTCTTCCTCCCATTGTAAATCTCTCTCTCTCTCTTCTTTTTGCACATTTCACTCCTATTTGCATGGATCATCTCTTCTTCCAAGCCTCCACTGCCACGTTTCCTCTCCTCTCTGCTGTGCTGCGGGTCAGTTCGCAGTCTGTCAGATTTTAATGACTTGTCCACTTGAGTTCAAAGTGTCACTTTGATTAAGCTGTGTCACTTCCACTTATTCCTCCCATCCATTCGCCCTCTGGTCCTCCTCACGCTGCTTTACAGAAAAGGGATTTCCCCATGTCTTTTAATGACTTTGCCCTCTGTTGCTTTTAGATTATCTTTTCATTTTCCTTTGCACTTGAATTACTTCACTTAAGCTCCTGTGATATCTTAGAAGTGTCTGCTCGACACTGTGGCTAGTTTGACTCAGCTGAACTGAGTATATACTTGAGAGTATACCATGTTTATTTTAATGCAAGAAAAAGATCTGCTGCTACCACCTTTATGTGTTTTTGCAATGCTTTCATGTGCTAGATACTGTCTGTCACAAAGCCTGATAGTCACTGCAAACCTTAAAGCTTATGCATTGTTGCATATTGTATGCTCAGGTTGGATGGTTGCTTTGCCCTTTTATTTCTTATTAGGAAGCTCTCGGCCTGCTCCAATCTCACTTACTGACCTACATCTGTCAAAAAAGTATAAGAAGTCATTGACTTTGATCCCAAGACTTTTTTCCTTTTGTCTGTCCCTAAAGCTTGGATTAGATTTGGAAAAAGGACGTTCCAATTTGCTTCTCCGTCGGCTTTAGATCAGTTGCAAAATCAACTAACTGTAAAGGAGCTGTTTTTCCTGGAAAAATTTAAGGTCACTTTAAGTGACCTGGAGGCATTTAGGCTGGATTCTCATTTATTTTGAATGACAATATGTACCGCCAAACAGAATTGTGAGTTCTTTCCTTCACGTTGGTCGCCCTGAAAAGTTGAGAAAAGTTCAACTTTGCAATTACCGACACCACTGCTACCAGTCACATCATCCATCCATTCATCTCATTTTCTTAACTGCTTATCCACTTCAGAGTTGTGCTGAAGTGGCATGCAGCCTATCCCAACTGTCACAGGGCATGAGGCAGGGTACATAGTGGACAAGTCACCAGACTATCACAGGGCTAACACACACAGACTAGTCAAATCAGGTCAAGTAAATATACAGAGAGCGTGAGGTGGCTGCTTTTGCAGTTTGGCATCAACACGTTGGAGAAATCGATCATTGTGGTGAATAATCAGCCCGCTATCTACGAACAAATTTCACCACAGGCAGGCCGATGAAAACTCGCTTAGCTTGCCTTGTTAGTGATTGGTTGTTGTTGCTATGGTGATTGCTCCACCAAACGTAAGGAATAGCCATAAATCAGGCTGCAAATGTTCCACCTGAATGTGGTTTCTGGGATACTTCACTTATTTGTCTTCTTCTTAAGTTTATTTTGCATCTCTCTTTTTTTGCTCTTTTTATTTTAAAATCATGAACATTAGCTTTGAAGCATCTTAAACTACAGAACCAAACAGTCTCCACAAAGCAAAGATTGTGAGTTTTGTGCTCTGGTTGTAGCTAAACTTACTACACTGGCAGCCAGATGATTAAGATACTGCCAGAGACAGATTATTTTCTACTCCTCCCACCTTCTGAGTACCTATCTGTCCATCCACTGCTGTGATCTCTCACGTCTTTATATACTTTAATCCGTTTAAATATAAGTTTCCAGCCTCACTGATACTCTCCCCAGCCTCTCACTTTTCTTCACAACTCACAGTCTGTCTCTGTGTCATTCCAGCCCTGTTAAATATGCTCTTTTAGTGCTGTTTTATGGGGCTTTATTCTTCAGCGTGCCACTTCCTCAATATGGGCTTTTGGCAATGTAATCCTTTTGAACAATATAACCAAAGGGGCAGAGTACAAAGCTATCATTGTCTATATTTCCATGAAGTGCTTCCCTTTATTTCCTGTTCTTTTAACAATCCCTTTTTTCTGGTGATGGTTTATTGATGGTTAATCTTTCCATCGGACTTTCACGATGAGGTCAGAGTGCAAGGTCGCTCAATTTATTTATAGGTGCCTTTTAATGATTGTGGCTAAGTGCTTTATAGGGTGATAAGGACATGTGTGCCAGGCAGTGGCACAAGCCTTTGTTGGGTCTTTGTTGGCTTGTGTGCCTTCTCTTTTTAAAATTATTTTCATGCTTTGTGAAGCAAAAGTCATGTCAGTCTGATCCTCTTTGAGCCGCAGTGAGCTGAATTGCACAAGAAACCAACCTCAGGCTGTATATCGATCAGATGTTACTTCAAATTCTCAAAGGATTCTTTTGAAATAAGCATGAAGCCATTGCTTTGTAGCTGACGGCAGGTCACCAGGGGTGTAGGTGACGCTATCATGTGTTTTTCAGCCAGTCATATCAACTTTATCTTTCGCTCCCAGACATTGACATTCAGTGATACATCCATGCTAGTCTCTTCCTGTGTGGACACCCCTTAATACTACCTGTATCCATGTTAAACTGTTTAGGATGCAGTGTTCAGCTCAGGATAAGCGATTCTTATCTTAAAGAAACCATTCTGATGTTTCCTCAGAAGCTGCCAGCTGGAGCACGTGACATTGTTGCTCTGAACTGGATGATACCACTTATGGTAGAGAGAGAGACGGGTCTTTAAACCAGGAAACTGTGGGTGGTGTTAGGGATTTTTGCATTTTGCACTGTTTTGGTTGGTTTTCTGCTTACTTTTGCTGTCACTTGTGTTTGATTAACCTCTTAACATCCATTCGATCACCAGTGACTTGGTTAGGGTTAAGTTCAGGCTCCCAGTGGTCCATCTGTATGGATTTGTTTTCACCTCTTTTACCTCTCAGATGGAAATCATATAAAAGATGTTAAATGCATGGAAGATAATGTTGTCTAGTTTCTGAAATTAGGCTTTAAAAACACGTAGCTGAAGTACAGCCTAACCCTACCCCTCAGTGGTTTGTCAGTGATACAGTGGCTGGCAGGAGGTTAACCTCGATTGTGTTTTGTGTTCTGGGAAGTTTCCTGGGTTTTGTTCGGAGACTTTTTGTAGTCCTATTGACCAGACATATTTGAGCAGGCTTTGGTTGTATGCATTTAAAAGGTCTATGTGACGAACAAAAGAGGGCTGGTAATTACTGAATTGCATTGAATAACCAATGCATGATGACGATTCAGTGTTTTTCTAAAGATTCATCTGCATTCACAAACAATGTCTGGCAGATAGAAATAGAAGATGTGGCCTGAACATCTGCTAGCGACAGTGGAAATCCAGAAAATCTGTCAGAGTCCCCCAAAGGAAAAACCAGTAGTTTCCCAGATTCTTGTTTGCTTACATTAAGGAACCGAAAGCAGTGTTTTAGGTTATGAACCTTCACAGCTGCACTAGTAAAAACGATGCTTAGGGGTCCTGAGCTCTATTGCCATTGCTGAGTCATCATGGGAAGAACATGATAAGTTTGTGCAGATGCACAAACCTATCTGTGCATCTGCAAAATAGCACATGCACAGATAAGTTTTTAGGTGTCTAATATATAGAGTCCTTTGTGATACAGATTCCACCAAAGGACTGCAATTAAACTACATAAACATGTGGATGAGAACTTTAGGATTTTGTAGTTTGAGCCATTTTTGAAAGAAAACACTGAAAATGTTTGTTGTCTGATGCTGAACAAATATGAGTTATCGTTGCAAACACTTGAAAAAGAAGGATGAATGAGTTTCATTGCATACTTTAGTCAGAGCAGACGGAACAACAGAACTAATGTTAGCAGCTTAATGGAAGATATCTCATCCTCTTCTCTCTTCAGACAAAGACAAGCCTCTGGACTCCGATGAAGACTCTCTGGGTGTCAGTGCCGGTGGAGCAAATGGGGTGGGAGGAACCCCAGGCACCGGCGCACTGCGACCTAACTCACAGTCAGCCTTCCTGGGCCCGCTGCTGTGGGAGAGGACCCTGCCGTGTGATGGAGGCCTGTTCCAGCTGCAGTACATGGACTTGGAGGAGTTCCTGACTGAGAATGGGATGGGGATGCACAGCAATGGGCCCAGCTCTGCTACTGCCCAGATCCCCTCGCAGGTAAAATAGATGGAGATCAAAAACCACAGGTTTATGAATCATACCTCAATTTTGCCAAACCAAAAGACGTTATAGTGGAAGAAGACAATTTAATGTTTATTCAGCACAGATGTTAATGAAACAGTTGCAGGAACATCATCATTTCCTCAAGAGAAAACCTCAGATGAGTGAGCTAATGCTAAACTGTGCTAGTTTACCAGTTATCTGGCCAGTCATCGTTTAGTCTTCATTGTCACAAAAGGAGCCAGTTGATTCTTCAATGCTTGCAGTGCAGGAGTGTTTCCAGGAATTTTTAATAAGGTGGAAATGCTCTTGTTACAATGCGGCTTCAGTTTCAAGATAAACATTCTTAGCTCGCTGTAACCCTTCAGTGTTAATTTGTTGTCAGCAGCCAAGGTGGCAAATGGAGCAGTTCAGTCTCTCACTACTCTTATCATATATATTTTTTTTACCTGAAAAACATCTTTGGCGTTCTGCAACTCATTCTGGTGGGAACTGCAGAGACTTGTGTTGATAAACTGAAACGACCTTCACTACGATCACTGGAAGTCAATTAACTGCAATTCAGTTTGTTTTTTGGAGATTTCAACGGTTATGTTTTTTTAAAACTACATACGCTTTCCCGTTTATTTATTTTTTAGCTACTCGCAGTGTTCACTTGCAGTGCAGGCTCTGCATGCATTGCCATCCACCTCTTCTTATTTGCATTTGCAGTAGTCTGAGCAGTAACCATATTATAGCCACGGATTCACTAGCAGCTGCAGCTGCTCACAGCCTGCGGCTGCATCCAAAGGAGGAATGAGCGAAATAAAATACATCATGTAAAGAGCGACATCATCTCTGCTTTCTGTGGCATCTGTAGAGCATTTTTCTTAAACCTTGTAATATATTAGAACTCTACTGGAATAACATAGAAACAGTCCAACAGACTAGCAAGGAATGTAAAAAATATTGAAATGCAATGTAAAAGTAGGAAAAGATCCTGCTGTGAGCGTTTGGACACATTTTGTAATTCAGATAATTAATGAATATTTCAAATATGAAGCATGATTTTAAAGTTTAAATCATGCTGGCATGATGTAAGCGCACCTTTAACCTTTCTCTGCACAGCTTGCTAGCTGCTTAGTTTGCTGGCTAATGTCTATCAGTCCCATTGTTTCTTCTGAATTGTGAATAAGTCATGATCATAGGGCCATGCACTACACTGTGAGATTAATCTTTGGACTTTAAGCTAACCTTATACTGCCATTGCTCTGTTATAAGCTAATGAACTATTTTAATTTGAAGAAATCCTTAAAGCACTAATGAGATTTTAAAAGAACCATTCCTGGACACTGCTGGAGCAGCACTGCATGATTCATCATTGAAAATAGTACTTTCATATCACATACTTTCATTTCACATTCATCTTATCCTGTGTATTTGTGTAGCACCTCTGTTCATCTTCTATTTGACACAAGCTGTTTTAGCTCCTCCCGCTTTAAGCCAAATTTCTTCTGATTACAATTTCTGCTTTTGTTTGTGTTCTCCTCCCAGAGCTCCCAGTCTGCGGTGCCTAACCAGAGTTCTCAGTGTCCTCCCACCTCTCCTCCGCCCTGCTCCTCCTCTTCCTCCTCCATGTCCTCCTCATCCTCTTCTTCTTCACTGCTTGGACTGGAGACCGTCCAACCACAACCACAGCCGCCACCACCTCAACAGCAGCAAAGCATGATGGGAGGACCTGAGTGTCTACATGGTGAGTGATTGGGAATTTTAAAACAGTCCTTACATTTAGTTAATTCTTGTGTGAGAATTGTATGATCTGTATTTTTTATAGTGTGATGGTAAACTGAATATTTTGTGGTTTTGTTTGTTGTGGTCAGGCATAAAATAGACATTTGAAGGTTCTCAGTTGGTCCTTGGAAAGTAGTTTCTGTGACATTATTTAGCAAAATGAGCGACAAAATTATTCACAGGTTCATTTATAACACAGTTTTATTGAATGTGATGTTGCTTCTGAGCAGTTTTATACATTTTGACCCATTAAAATGGGAATTATGGGAAATTAATATAATGCTTCCTGCTAGTTCATCCATGACTCCCACCTGAAGTCTTTTTTAAGGTGGAGAAGCAAGTTAGTAGCTAAATCTGGCAAGTTTGGTTAGCAAGCACCTATAAACTGTACTGGTGGAAACTGGGCTACCTACATTACACTTACAGGAGCTGTTCAGCCATGGGAGCCTATACCATGGCTGGCAAACTCCTGGCAAACATTTATCATGATGTTAATGTCAGCTGTGCGCTTATTGAGTCCGCTAAGACTTTTATGCACCTCACATCTCAGCACTCAGTAACTTTGAGGTCTGCCACTTCATGGCTGAGTTGTTGTGCTTCTAAATGCTTCTACTTTGCAATAATAGCACTACGAGTTGATCATTTATAATCTAGAAGGAAAGAAATGTTCACAAACTGACTTGTTGTAACAGTGGAGTCTTACAGTACCAGTTCAAATCCAGTGAGCTCGGCCCTTTCTGTTTATAAAGGCAGATTGCATGGCTAGGTGCTCGATGTTATATATAGGTGTCAATGGGAGTAAAATCACCGAAATTTAAAGCTACTAATTAGTTATAATTAAGTTACTAATTATGTTACTAATTAAGTAACATACAAATAGCATACTATTATCTAATGAGCCACAGCTAGAGAGCAGACTTCTTGAATCAGCTGTTGTGAAAAATTAACCAGATATCAAGTCATGTAATTTTGAAGATAATTGCATTAAAATGCTTCAAAAGGCATGACAAACTGTTCAGAGCTGCAGTTAAGGGTCAACCCTGTTCCTAATGTTAAGTCTGGAAAAAACTTAAAGGTTGAGTTATAAAAATTTTCAACCCTTGTACAGTTGTTATGAAGGCCAAACACCATCCACAGACACTAAAAGCATTTTCCACCTGGCTGCAAACATTTTTACTTCTGTTGTAAAGCAGGACTTTTTATCGTGGGTGTCCATGAGGACTGACTCGCTTTGGAGCCTGCCTCAAGTGGCCACTAGAGGTATTGCAATTTTTGGCAAGCTGCTTGTTAATCCATTTAGCTCTTTTATTTTATTTTATTTTATTTTTAGTCTATTTAGCTTGTCAGATATTGTTTACCATGTATAATGGTTAGCTGAATTTTACCCTCCTGGTCAGAAAAAGGGAGACTTTGTATCATTACCTCTGGATGGATGATTTTCATGACTAAGAAAGTCATATTTTACTTATTTATTTTTTACCAATTTTCACAAATTAATATGTTGTCCAGAGGTTATTTACTTAACCTACCAGTCAAAATACTACTAACCAGAATGTACGGAGCCCCGCAGGGGACATGGGAGAAAAAAAAATTAAGACGGACTTTTGGGAGATCTCACAAAACTAACTCGGGATCTCGCAAAACAAACTCGGGCCTTCGACCTCCCGTTAGCTCGAAGCTAACGGGAGGTCGAGACCTACTACAGCCGGGAGGAACACCGCTTTCCTGGCACATCGTGCCTTGACCTCCCGGTCGGCTTCGAGCCGGCGTCCGAAGAATGCGGCCAAAACTTTTGCGAGATCCCGAGTTTGTTTTGCGAGATCTCGCAGAACTCCGGCGAAATTTTTTTTTCTCCCATGTCCCCTGCGGGGCTCCGTAAGAATGAGGTTATAAGGGGAAATATTTAAAAATATATATTTTTAAGATTGTTATGAATGTTTTTAATGATTAACAAAGTTTAAAAATGAGCAAGCTTTTCTTTTTCTGCAGTGAGTTTAAAACATCTTCATGTGAGAAGGCAGCATTTGTGCTGCAACTAATGCCTTCAGACATATATGAAGCTGTATGTGCAAGAGGCCTCGATGTGATCTGGCACTAATGAGCATCGAGGCCCACAATGCATTATATTAACTCGCACAACTCAAGCGTTCGGTGCCTCTAACAATAACCAGATCAGGATTCTCTCTAATTATATCTCAGCACGATGAATGGCTGACACCCTGTTCTCTGGCCCTCCTCGGTTCTCTCCACCAGGCTGTTATCATCTGTTATATATTCATAATTTATTGTTTCCTCTCTCTGCTGCATTTGATGTGAACCAGAACTGCCAGAACATCAGAACAACCTTTCTGTCCATCTGTCTTTTTCTTTTTTTCTCTTTCCTTTTTGAGATTTCACAAGCCTGACAACTTCCAGTTTTGACTAATTGAAACCACAAAGCCGTTCTTTCTAACGCTGACCGTCATGTTTTTTGTCCCACGAGCCATCCAGTGATTCATCACAGCTAATTTTGTGGTGATTTATTGACAACAGACTGCCACATTCTTTGTAAACGTTCAGCCATTATACGATAATGATTGTATGAGCATGTTAAGATGTGTGGAGACGGAACAAGAGAGCCTAATTTTGTTTGTGTTATCTATGCTACAATTATTTTAGCATTTTTTAACTCATTTGTGAAGCTTCGTCTTGTCGTCAAAATGTCACCGGTTAGACAAAGAGCGAAGCTGGGTCTAATCTGTGAGATCATAAATGAAGGCAAAAAGTGTTTGTCTTCGTCTTTGCATACAGCACCCTGTGGATTGGACGGTTTGCCATATCTGTACCTAAAAATATGCATAAATGCTCTTCTGCAAAGGCCAAGCACAGTCATATAACAATCTATCATGTGTCTGCTGTATCAAGAAGACTTAAGGCTTTAACTCAATGCGTTTATATCATATGCCAGCATAGTCTCTTTCTTTGCTCTTGCTCCATAATCTATAAGCTTTGTAGATGGGTATGAATATGACATATCACCAAACAG